CTCTATTTTATAACACTTCCTATTTCTTCTCTTCCATCTATCAGCGGTCTCAGAGTTTTTYACAGTGATCCCAGATCACAAAGGAAGACAATTAAAATCTTGTTTTAAACTTGCTGAACCTACTACATTCAGTCCACAGGTGTGCCAGGAGGTATTATAACACTTTTTATTCCTTCTCAGAATTTGCAGCTTTTGTGTAAGAAAAGAGTCTGAGAAAATGGGGAAAAATCCTATTTCTTAGCCGATTCTCTCATGAAGCCTCTTCTGTTTTAATGTATTTCTTGTTATCAATAAATTATAAACCCTAGTCCAAGTGCCTGTTGATCACTGAGATAAAAATGCTCCACAAAACCTTTCCTTGGTTTAACTCCAATCCTGCTTAAAATACATTGATACAAAATGAAAGAAAAAAAGCATTGCAAATGAACCATACATATAATAATTGTGAAAACATATGAAATAAAATGCTCTGGACTTGTAATATAATCAATAACTTACGTGCAGTTATCCTGCTTTACATTTTAGCAAAYTTAGTTAGCATTAATTATTTCTATTACAGTAGGAAATATGTGTACATCAAGGTTATATTGAGGGTAGACTTTAACAGCAAGATAAAGATACAAAGGTCCTTATCAAMCTTATCACAGCACAAAAAAGAAATGGATATGGATGGACCTTTGCTCATAAATGCAAAGTTACATCATTGAATTGTTGCCTATTCTCACATATTCTTTTTCTGTCCAACTCTTCTCAATACATTMTAAACAGTCTCTTACTGCATCCAGACAACAAATACAATTATTATGTAAATAATAATTTCTGCCAGTATTTTTAAAACACAAAGCCTGTCAAGACATAAGAACCTAGAAATGAAATCAATATTAGACAAAATGCTAGCAGAAAGATCAAAGTAAGAATAATTTCAGTGATGAGTGTGTGAAAAAACGAAAAATAAGCTTTTTAATAAGGGGCATAAGAGACATCCCAGAAATGACTAAACTAGCGCCTGTGCAAAAAAATCTGAGGCACTGATTATAAAACACAAGAAATCATGAAAGAAAACTCATCTGCTGAGGAATGGAGACTGAAGTGACAAATAATTCAGCTCAAGAAACAGTATCACTTCTCAACCAGAATGAACAGAAGTGTTTTTAGTTGAAAAAGTTCAATCATCCCACACAGGAGTGACCATGATGTAKTTCAACCAAATTATTTTTAAGAAATAATTTTAATTATAATATCATCTTTTCCTTACTGATATTACATATACACTGCTTGACATCCCTTTAATTATGTTCAYGTTTAATTTCTTCTTCATATTGTTATGAAAGCAAAGACTTTTAAATACATTATTAAAAAGCCCCCAAAATTTCAGGACAAACAGGAAAATATATAGCCATATGTGTAGTGGAAAACACTGATTATCAAAGCTTCATAAAAGGCAAGAAATTATATCTCACTGGTTTTCACCTTTAACGGAYATTCTTTTTACAAGGGTAACACCTTTTATTTTCACTGCAAAAAAAATATTATCAAAGAGAAGTGGAAATCGGGAATTCTGACAATTCACACTCACARCATGTGTGATACATGCCTATGCAGAATGCTTCTTCCAATAATGCAAGGAATAAACGATGAATAAATGCAATGATCATTCTACAGGGTAGGTATTGTTATGCCAATTTTAAAGCTGTCAAACATGGCATTCCCTACAGGCTTGAGTTTGTTTTAATGAATTAATTACAGAGAGAAGGGTATCTCTGCATCTCCAAGGGAGAAGCATGGAAGAGAATGACTGCCTTTTAACTTATATTCTTTCTGGTCTTTGTATATGGCAGACTTGGATAAAACACCAACGCAAAGAGGCTRAACATGAGACATCTGTAGAGAAACTCTATGGTCAGGAAGCTCAGGCACYATAGTGTGGTTATGTCTATGAACTTTAAAATGAGCCAATAAACATTACACAGGCACATCCAATTACCATATGAACACACTCCTTTTTTCTGTTCTGTTTTAACAGACACATGGAAAAAATAATAGTAATGCTAAGCCATTTGAATGGAAGTTCTTAATAAGAATAGACATGCTATATACAGTTCTACAGAGAAGTGTGGTGTCTTATTTGCAGACATTCACACTGAGGGTTATAAGGGGTTTAAGGCAGCACCTTCACACACAAACTTCCCACTGAAATTTATACTAACACCATTTGCCTAATTTTGAGATATATAAAATATCTTAAGATAACATACATTGCTGGGGGTCTTTGGAAACATCATCTGTGCATTAGACGACTATTGACCAGCAACGYCCAAGGCACAGCAATAGCTCTGTCTCCTCAAATAAGTCACAGCAGCAGAGATCAGAATCACAGAAATCAGGATTGTTTTTTTTTTTTTTTTCTCAGTTCAATGGCCACTCAGTTCAATGTTCCACTCTACAGAAACTCAGGTTGCAAACAAGACATAATGAAATACTGTATTTAGCATRATTGTCTTCTGGATTTCACTTTAGCAAAGTATCTGTTATTGAGCACTTCCACAATTAATTCTATATATACTTCTCSCAGATTTTTTTTATTATATGATTGTATGATTATATTAAACTCTTTCAAATATTCTTAACACCAGACAAAGGCAACAACTAATGGTGCCTTAAGGACTATTAAAGGGTCTGTAACCACAACCTGAGTGTTTTCTAGGATTTAAAAAATAATTTTCAAGCCTTRAAACAGCTACAGTAACTCTCCTGTAGCATGTCAGCTCTTGCATTAGATTGAATTGTGATAAATYATTATTTATAGGTGTTGGTTACAGCTGCATTGCCAAGATGCACGTCTCATACTCCAAGAAGGTACTCAGTGTCTCCTTCTTGTTAAATAAAAAATAATAATAAAAACCCACAAACCCAAAACAAGCCCATCATTCCCAAACTCTTTGTAGTTACTTTCAGTGTTTGCTGAAGAAACTATTTTCAGAGTTCAGAGATAAACCTGTTAAGTAATTCATAGTTTAAGATAAACTTGAAAACAAAAGATTCTTTAGGAAATTTAAAATCTGAATTGGTCTTCCTGAAAAATAAAACTTATTAATGATTTTCAGTAGCTTGAAGCTCTCYGCATAGTTACAATTTAAATGTTTAAATAACATTTTAAAAAGGTTATAGTAAGTGAGCTTGCTCTTATTCGTTGCTAGTATAYGCTGATTCTGTTATCTAATACTCTGTGGACAGATACAATTCCATAGATGAGWTCTTTTTAAGAGAGATCATTCTCACAGTTGACAGAGCTACTTTACTGTAGTTAATTTTAATGTCATTATTTTGTTCGCTTTTACTAGGGATGCAGTTTTCCAAATGCCAAAAACTGATTTCAAGTCTCTGCAGTCAGATATTTCTTTTTGTCCTCTTGTTGACACTCTTTCCATTCCTTATGCTATCAATGTTCTTGGGAGCAAAATACTTGGCTGAGGAGAAGGCAAGATTTCAATTTCTGACAGCAGCACAGACTTACACTGGCTTTGGCCAGGAAAAACATGTATCTTAACTGCAATCAAGATCAGTCTCCTGTGCATCAAGTGTTGTTAATGGCAAAATGTAGGACTCAAAGCGTAATTACACTAGGGATTCCAAGGTCATCAATTTGGACATCAGCAACTTTCACAACAGCATCCCTCTCCTATTACTGTATTATATGTTGACTCTGTTTAAAAGCAAAACAAATTTTGCACACATAGCAGTGAACATTCTTTTCTTTATCTCAGGCAACCTTGCTTCTGGGAAAAAAATCTTTGGGGTCAAATTGCTTTTTGACTGCTCGGCTGGAGCCACTATCTCCTTTCTTCGTGATTGGGTCTAGTAACACATATGCTGGGTACAGGACCACCCAGTTTWCTCCATATAACATATCATCTGCAAGTGGCCTTTCTCAGCAACCTCCCTCCCATACATGCAACCACCACTATATATACTGCTATTGCACCACTCTTTCTAGTTCTTCCACTCCTTCCCTTCTACACTTGCCAGAGACTGCTTAGAATGRCAAAGAGCAACAGAAAGAAAAAGTAGTAAGAGCAGAAAGGGAATACTGTTGGCTTGCCATCCCAAACATGTTTTTTGTGTATTTAAGCTCAATATGAATGCTAGAACAGCAGCATTTTTATATTTTGCAAGTCCTGTGAAAACGCAGAATAAAGCAAATGATGTTGCAAAGCTTGAAGACCATGTCTCATGCTTCTTCTTAAACACATTTTTATAACTTACAACTCTTTCCAACTACTGATGCAAATGAAATGAATTAGCATTTTGGGTTATCCCACTCCAAAAATTCTTGAGGGAGTTGCAAAAGAGGAGCCTGCACAATGTTAAAATTAAACCATAAGTCAACAGGGACTATATGATCGCTTATGCATAAGGTATCACCATTAATGTAAGGTAAAAATGTTACTGTAACTTTTTTTACCACTAATTTCTCTCTCCTTTTCTCCTTCTCAGACTTTTAGCTTTAAGAGAGCAATTGTAATCTGTCTGAATGCAGAATGAGATGTGTGTTATATACAATGATAAATAAAATAATTACACACCAGAATGTCCACTGGCTACACAAACCCAATTACATGCAGAAGAAAAAGAGCTAACTCACAATGAAACAGAAATAGTATCCAAAAATCCCAGGCCACTATGATCTTGAGGTATAATGACTAGGAAAATAAAAGGCACAGAGCAACAACCACCACCACTATTTCTCTCTTTGTGACTTTACCTTGAATTTTGCTAAAGACTTTGATATAGAGAATGTATTTCCCTTTGACTGTGCATTATGTAAAGAGCACAAGTAACTCTTGTATTCAGCTCTTTAGCACAGCAGAAGGAAAACTGTTCAAGGGACAGGCACAGTTATTGTCCATTTGTCCAATTCTAAATTGCTTCAGGCAAAAATTTGCTGTCAACAAATACCAAGTTTATAGGAAACAAAAAAAACTCCAAACAAAAATACTCACAGCTTTGGTTTGGCAAGCACAGGTGGTGGCTCCTTTGTGGGTGAAAGCAAGACAGCTGGAGATGGAAGGGATTTATCACCATTTGGCTTGCTGTTAATCATTCCATTTACTCCAAGAAGAGGATGAATGCCATTTGTTTTTTCCTCAGATGAATTGAGTTGTTGTTGAAGGTCTGTCACACCAGGTCTCAACTCAGTGTTGTTTCCTTGGTGGGTCTCTATATGTTTCTTAGGAGAAAGCTCAAGAGAGCTAATTTCAACTGGAGGAATTGGTGAGAAATTATGGAAATCATCACTAGAGCATTCCAAGTTGGCTAAAAGAAATCAAGAAGAATGTCTCTTCAACAAGTCATGGACAAAGTACATGATAAATACAAGGTGTATTTTCATTTTTTTTTAGGGTGAAATGTCTTTGGTTTTGTAGAGATGTTTTTCCAGTCCTCCTATTGATAATTTCTGCTGGATTAGATACATGAGTGGCTATTAATTTTCTAAGTTTGCCCCATGCAAAAGGCATGATTAGAAACTTTRCAGATCTCTCTAAATCTATTTCAGGAATCCAGGCACTAACTGAGATTGGAAAGTATGGACAACAAGAGCTGAAACAGGACTTCCTCTTCCTGGTGTTTCAGGATCATTTAGGAAGAAATAATTAAAAAATGATGAAGAATGCAGCACACATGGCAAGTTTGCAATGGCAGCTGGGTTAATGCATTCCACCACAATATATATGGAAACATATCACAAAACTAAACATACCATATCACAGTGTTTTATTTTACAGAAGGYCAGCATAATTTCATCTCTCTAATTTTGACTCTGCTGCCATCTAGTCTTGAACCCTAATGCTTAAAAATATGCCAGGCTTGTGGCAGAACTTAAAAAATGCATTTCACATTAATAAAAATATTAAACCAGGAAATGAATCTAAAGAAACATTCTGTTTGCTTTACATGAATGCACTGGGGCTGACAAGCACCATATCTTGCAGCAGCCATTTTCCACAAAGCAAGCAGACTGACAACTTCATGGATAAATTAATTACATAAGATTTATGATGAAAACCTCCTCTTTCTCTTTTTTACGTACCTGAGCAGACAGTTAGTTGTGCACTGCTTGTTACTGAACCATGTTCATTTGTTGCTGTACAAGTGAAAATTCCTGAATCTTCAGGGAAAGTTTCTGCTATTACAAGTGTACATATCTCTTCTGGAAATAAACAGAAAAAAAAGGGCATCATAAACTATTCAAAGTACTGTGTAGTATTTTTTGCACTTTATGTGAAAAGGACACCAGAAAGTGCACTTTTACAAATAAATGCTGGGAGAACTGCAGAAGAGCTTCCAACATAAATGGCTTTAAGGAAAATCACTTTGTGTCTGAAAGAAGTAAATTAATCAAGCTAAGTTTTCAAAACTGGTTTGAACAGTAATTTTGCAGTTACACATCTTGCAGTCATTTTATACACTCAATATCTTTTTAAAATGCAGGGCAGTACTAATTAATACAAATGAATGTAATGGTTTACAGAAATAATTAATATTTGCGAGTTCTTTTTCTGTGTCTAAATAACACCACCAGTACAAACGTCACACAATTCTTTCTTGCTCTGAAGTTTTTTCTGTATTTAATGCAACATTCAGATCAAATCTCACTCCCAGTAAAACTAGAAAACATGGATCACCACTTCCAGTTAGCTCTTCTGCATATACTAACCAGAATTAAAAATTCTAGACACATAATTGTTCACCTTATGCAGAGTTTGGAAAAATAATTTCTGTCTCTGTCTGCACAGCAGTGACAATGGAACAATTGAAAATATAATACAAAACAGCACTCCCAAAACCTCTTCAGAATAATGTGATAGATATATTCGGTATTACATTTGTTCATTCTCCTTTGATAAGCCATGGTATATGCTTTGATTATACCAGGGCTTCTATCAGAAAACTTKTGTGAAGGATATGAGGTTAGGTCTCACAGTATTTTTTTCTAAATCAATTCTATCCATTTATAATGGGCACACTTAACTGTTTAGGTGTATTTTTTTCCAGTTTCTTCAAAGAAGTAACTTTATCTCTACTTGTAATGACACTGATTTTTTAAAGACGTCACAATACAGATAATTTAAATAATCCTACTGTTTACACAACATACTGATATAATTTCATACCTGGACAATGCCAATGTCTGTCTCCTTAATTAATTCAGAGTTTCTTTTGTTTATGCTGATGTTTTAGTCTCAAAACCAAAGAGAAAAGTTTTATAACATTCAATTTAATTAACGAAAAAAGAAAAATGCTTTTTGCAATTTGAACACACGCTTTGTTACATATCACAAAATCAGCTAATAAAAGCAAACTGTATAAGGAAAAACACTTTAGAATCTAATAACTTCCATATGAAAATTATTCTGTAGAAAAGGTTCAGTAAGGTCAACTTCACTTCCTATAGTTCAAATAAAGAAAATATTTTCCACTAGTGTTTTGGGGGCTTTTTCCCCCCTTCTGGAATGACAGACCACTGTCTCATTTAGACAGTTAACAAAAAAGTTATGAAATTTTTCCAGTTATAAATGACAATATATCCAAAAACTTCCTGTACTGGAAATGGGCTAAAAATGAATGACTGACTAACTATTTGGCTCAAAGTTGGTTTTCAGACAACAGAACATGCCTTTTTTTCTTTTTGGCAATGCAGACCAGTCATTCTGTGTAGCTGCAARAATCATGTCTGGTAATACAGCACATTGGATCTTATCTAACACAGATGAAGATTAATGACTCATGAAAGGTCTTATCAGGAAAGTAATGCGTAACACAAGCTAGTTTTTGAACTACTGAGGCCAGCTTTTTTTAGAGTCTTGGTGTGTCATAAGCAGTGGAAACTGCATTGTTAAGCACAAGTGCGTACTCCTGGACTGAACTGACCCTGGGGATGTAATCTTATACACGCAGCATTCTGGTTTCCTGTTCATTTAACAGCAGAATGCTGAAAGCTGGGGATTTCAGGACAGCAAAAAAAGATCACTCCACCAGGCTGAGAAGTGCCCTCTGAATGAGGGTAAAGGCATTACCAAATGTAGCAACCAGCAGAAGTCCTATTTTCCAAACAGCAGAGCTAATTAATGCGTAACTTYCTTCCAGCTTTTTAAGTGTGTAAAAAGATCACATGAAAAGAGCCAATCTACATTCTTCAGTGACAAAAGAATTCTAAGGGACTTTACAATGATGTGCTTTGTTTACTGAGGAGGTATGTTTTAAAATTATAYATGAACAATTGCAGCAATCTTTGTAAAAAAATTTGAAAGTAAATTAACAATTAAAATAATCAGAGATTAAAATTCAGTCTTTTCAGCCAGATGAATAAACTGCAACACATTTGTGACTGATCATGAGAAAACTGGCGAAACTGAAAACATAAAAATCCTAAGAACAAATTAAAAGGCAACATGGGCAAAAAGCAGGTGTGAGCAACGCATTGCTATCTTCTTTATTGATTTTTGAAGCCAAGAATCACTCACCCCTAGGTCATTGCTAAAAGGCTTACYACTGTGGAAGCATAGAAACACAATACTAATTTGGCAAAATAAAGGTTCTTTCAAGATTTCCATAACACATTGTGGATATACTCAGTGCTCTGAGTAATTTTCTAGCTTTACATCCTGGCTTAGGTAATTACTTTCTGTTACTGTGTTAAGCAGAATCTGAGGATCTGTGGGACATAATGTCTATTCTATTTCCCGGCAATCATCAGCTGACAAATAATTTCATTGCAGAAATGTGTTCCAGCTCTGAAATGCTGTTCTCAGGGCCTTAAAACATATTTAACACTTGACTAAATGAATACAAAAACATTTTGTTCACTGAAACATGTAAAATGCTTAGGCATGCAAGTACTTGACTGTTTTGTCAGTTATTTAGAAAGAAAGATTACATTTTACTGAGCAATTCTTTCCCTTTATGGTTCATGAGTCCATTAGGAAGAAAAAACTTTGCTAAGAGAGAAAACTGATGCAATTTAACAAATTTTATCACTGACAATGGGTTTGCTTCAGAATGTTTCTTCATATTACATTAAAGGTAGAGTAATTCTTATATCTGCAATTTATCTCTGAATGTGACCATTAGCTTCCTCCACTGTAATGAACACACAGTTGGGGAAATAAGTACAGTCCTTTGCTAGTAGTTGTTCATTATGATGCAATTTCCATAGATGTAGGTTCAAAGCCATAAATTTTCTGACACACAGAGACAGTGGGAAGTCACACTGGTGGTTTCCTGGTAAAAATCCAATAAAACTTGTAGACAACTTGTAGACAACTTGTGTCGTTCCACAAGTCCTCATGTTCCACAAGTGTTTAAATCCAAAGCAATAGGTCCATCAAGTTACTTCTCACCTAGGTATCTGTGAATCTTTTATATAAAGAGAATAGGGAAGCATGAAAACAGAGAAGAATATGCGGAGTAGCATAATAAATGGTAGGTAGTACAGCAGACCTGTAGATGTCTTAGCTTGCACTAACATAATGAAGAGATGTATTCAATTTGCTGGTTTCTGATGATGCCTACTGCATATATTTTTACCCATTTAGGCAGCAGTTCTGGCWTATTTAATAGGCTTTATGTCACTCAAGGAATGAAGAGTAAAGGTTTTAGGAGATGCACAAAACTGACTACATTTGAAGATATTTCAAACAGCTCTTACAAATGACTAAGAAGAAAACTGAACAACGGCAAATGTGATTATGAGCAATAAAATGCAGATTCATGGTGTAAAGCATAGGTTACACAATATGTAATCAATAACCAAGATGTCTGCTGTCTAGCTGGATTGGGTACAATATATGGGAAAAAGACATTGCTACAGCAAGAAAACATTGTTCAGGTTTGAAATATTAAGGAGGAGAAATGAAGCCATATCAGTGTCACGGAAAAGTTTACACTAAGGTAGTTATGGTGTTGCAGATGCCTAAGCAACTAGTTTGAAGTTAAGTCAGATATACACATCAAGTCTGAAATCAATGCATTCAGCAACATAGATGTCAGTACTACTGTACTCCAATAAGCTTTGAATGTTTACAACTGGAGAGGAATGACAGTATTTTTTTCTTAAAATTACATGAAATAAAATAGGTCAGATGTGCACTTTGAATTCGGAAGCATCAAAAAGCAAGGACAGTTGTAGCAGTCAGACTTAAGATGAGGTCACTGACAGGAACAGAATTCTAGGTAGGTAACTTGGGAGCACAGAGTACAACTGAAAATGTAATTGACAAACAATAACATGCAAGTTGATCAGACCACCTTAAATGAAGGAGAATTTTAGCCTATTTTCAGTTTTTTTCTTCATCTGGCTTCTTAAGATATGGTTCCTATATGATTGTTCTCTCCAAGCCCTTTGCTTCTCAGCAGTGAAAGCAGGAGACAGATCCTTAGTCATAATTCYTTTGTTTTCACTAAAATGCGCAAGGATTGGTCATGCATACTAACCTACCAAAACTTTTTCATTGTGAATTTCATCAGCTACCAGAGAGAGGTGATTTTCTTGGTGCAGGGAAACAGTAAGGATTTCTATAACATTTGCCATATATTTTCAGTTTCAAGCATTAKGTAGAAACAGGGGGAAATTTCTACAGCAATTACTTGCTAGAGTGGAAACTATGGAACACAGCACTTAAACAGGAAACAGGAAAGCATAAGCAAAGACAAGTGATGACTATCTTTGGAGATGTGTTTGGTGAATGTACACAGTACAGGAAAAAAAAAAAGCAGGGATATGTGGCAATTCCCTGGCAATTTAAGCAAAATTACTTCATCCAGTTTTCTTCTTACACGCTGTTAGACAATTGTTCTAATGTAATTCAATACAGTTTGTGGCTGTCTCCAGACAGCTGAGTAATGGTCAAAATATCAACAGCTGGCAAGTGATTCCATGGGATTTTTCATTCTCAGGCAGCCTGTTCTTTGAAGGATTCAATCAGTATAGAGTCAAAATGTCCAAGAAAGAAGTACAGAACAGGTAATTTGACAAGCTGTGATGTTGGCTTTAAGTAACCTGAATAGCTATTAATTCACAAAGCAGTCTGGAGAGATTTGCAATGCAACCTGATTTCTGTCTAGACAGAGAAAGGAGTGTAAAACACATTAGTGTAGATAGAATGTACAAAAGAAAAGGTAGCCAAAAACCCCCCCTTGCTTCTTTATTTCTTACCTGTGTGAGTTCATGGAATATTTTTCTTTAAAATCATTAGTACTGACCTATCAACAGATAACCAATGTTATTGACTGTTATAAAGTGTTTATTGATGGTTGGACTATGGTTGACAAACAGCAATTAAAGTCGCACTATGACTTGTTACAATTTGTGTAAAATTCCATGGATGTTTTACACTTGGAAAAATTTTCAGAAAACAAGTCCATCTTTCAAAATTCTGAATACTTGTCTAGCATATGTATGTTGGTTTTCCTATCAATCTTGCATGTGTATTAGCCATCTGCATTGAATGTGCAGTTATGTGTTTGCTCACGAAAGATTTCCTCTGCAGGTATTGTTTAGTCTGGCTTATAAGGGTATGAATTACATCACAAACTAATGCATCTATTACGTTTCTGATACTCACACACAGCTTCCTATTGCAGAAATTTTAAAATCCCTGATGATGTCCTAAAAAGCAGTGTTACTTATTACCAGTGGTACTACTCATATAAAAAACATTGCTCATTATTTATGGTAAAAGGAAATATTTACATTTTGCCCAGATTTTATTTACATTCCCTTTGCAGGCACAGTGCCAATTCCTACACAAATAAGCCAATAAGTGTATTGTCATTAATTCTGGTAATAAGTAAGACACTGGACTATTTAAGATACTGCATTAGTTAATAGGGTTTAGTAGGAAAAGATAAATGCACAAATCTTAAGGGATAGTAGAGCACTTAGCTCAATGAATCCAGGGAGAAAAAAATGCCAAACTGAAATTATTTCACAGATTTTGGGCAACAGGAAGGTGCTCGTAAATATTTATTGCAACATAATTACAAGCATGAAAAAATAACTAATCCAACAACAAACCAGACAAACTGCAGTCAGGCATTCGTTCATTTTATGTCTATAAAACTGCAACAGTACAGATACCAAAATTGTGTTTTGAGATGTCTTCCTATTCTTGTCTTGAGAATGGTATGAGATACCTCAACACTAAATAACTTTTATGTACTTGAGACGACTCAAGAACTGCACCTTTCGTGTCAAAATCCATTCCTTAGTACTCTCTAGAAGACTTCAAGTATCTTCTCTCAGGATCTGCAAGCTAACCAGAAATGGTTTCAACATGATAATGCAGGTATGTGAGAGGGCTGGCAAAGCGATGATCTCTGAACTCAGAATCTCACCTTCTATTTCCYAATTCAAGCAGCAGTTAGGAAAGAAAGTGGATGGCTTTGTGAACTAATATCAACATTCTTTCTTCTTCCACAGCAATATCTGTCAGAGAAGCTATACAAAACTTGCAATTAACAATGCAAACTTTAGTTGTTTCTGAAAAAAAATCTTCCAGCAAGAAGCATAATATACGGTTTCCTTTGTACTCAACTACTCACACAAAAGAAACCTTTTCTTTCTAGCAAAGAAGTGCTTTTCCTTTCTACTASATAATGCTGCATTCCTACTCTAAAATATTTAGTTTATCTAGCATTATACTCATCAGTTTTATTATAGAGGGTGAAAGGGTAAAAAAAAATGAACCAAAACAATGCAAACATTCATGACTGTGAAGTTTTGACAGAAGAATCTTAAATTGCATATTAAAAAGAAAAACCCTAAGATAGGCTGGTAAATWTATATTTCTTAGAAACTTTTGTGTAAAATTTCACTCCTTTCAGATAGTATCTATCATGTTAAAGGATAAAGTGAACACAGTTTAAATGATTTTGCAGAAAAGAAGCTCCTAGTAAGAATGAGCCAGATATACTAGGGACAATTCTGATATTGTTAATARATGACATCTAGAAAAGATGATGCTATTTTGACAGGAAAAATGTTCCTCTGAGAAGGAGAAAAGAAGTAAACTGATTGATCCGATTGTTTTTTCTTTTTAAGATATCAAGAAAACAACWAAATTGGCAGACTTTTTCTGTGATATATATTACAGGAGAGTGTCCTAAGAAAGACAGAGCATTAAGCATATTTCAACACAAACCTATTGTCCTTTATTTATTTTCATATCCAAAAGCTTGATATGATATTGGAACTCTCTTCAAACTGTTTTATACCCTAAGTTACAATTTTTAAACTTTAAAGTTTTGTGTTATGATTATGAAACACTGATAGACGATTGTTAGCACTTGGACATGTTTTAATTCTTCATTAGCGGCTAATTTGTTTTTTTGACTCTTCTTTCCTTAATGTGGCTCACATTTCAAGCCTCCACAAATCAAATCATTCAGTCACATGTATTCAGGGCATCAGCTAATACTAGAGCTGATGATGTTGCACGCCATGATCAACARCATTGTTAGGATACAGCATGCACGTGTGTGTGTGTGCAATATATATCTATAATGGACATGAGGTAAAATAGGTATAGAACAATCTTATGAAGTAGCAGAAAATTAGTGAATAACTGAGAAAGAAAAGAGGATTTTTCCCTCTTTCCCTCCCCTCGTTTCCATGAAAATTAAAGGAAAGCTACATTTTTCCTAATCCAGATCCTCACAGTAACAGTGCTACTTTACAAATACCTCTCAGCTGCTAGGTCTGTCTTGCCTGCCAATGCAACCTCTCAGACATCCATCATTGCTAACATCATTGAGTTCTAAAACACTCTTTGGAAATATCCAGATCCCAGATAGAAWACATTTTTTGTTTTTCCAATGTCATAATTAAAACTGTCCAAATTCAAGAATATTCAAGCACAACTGATCACCCTCCTAAAGCAAGGTTCAGACTGTATCACTGTCCTCTCTTCTACATCTTTGACTTAGAAACAGTAGAGAACATTGCCAGTCTTTTAGCATTTAAGAAACTACCTCAGCATGTAATGGTGTATAACAGGGAAAATGAAGCAGACAAAGAAAACCTGAAGATGGAAGAACACTTTTTACTTGCTGAAATCTAGGACTTATATCTTGTGACTAGGCTAGAAAAATTCAGTGCTCTTTTATTATTTTTTCCTTTTCTCTCTTTTTTTTTTTGTTTGTTTGGGTTTTCTTTTTTAAAATTTTCTTTTTTTAGGATCAGGTTTTACTTGCATTTAAGACACAACACATCTGCCAAGCTGGATTGGTAAAACTAGCACTTAGTGGTTGGGTGTTATGAAATTCTTATGAGTACTATTTGGGTAATGGAATTTTGTGAGATTTGTCCTTTTCCTCAGTAGAAAGCAATCAATTTATTTTCTGAGAATCTAGTTTGCTTCAAMGTTTAAGCTCTGAGACTTCCCTTGCTGGTTTAAATGGATTTTACTGTTTAACTAATAAAGGAATTGATGTAAAGGACAGAGTAGAGTATGGGAGGTGTGATAAAGTAGCATTGTCTTTAAGGGGGTTTCAATTTACCAGTGTTCAGCAGAAACACTTTTCTATTTATGGCTTCAGTACAAACTCAAAGAGCAAGAATCAAGAGATTATTTTTTCATATGATTCTTACCAGGTTCAGTTGCAGATCGTGGCTCTGCAGATCACATCACATAAGGAGGGGAAGCAAACAAGAAAAATTGTATTAGAGATTAAATTAATAAATACCAATGTACTGAATGAACATATTAGCTGAAATACTATAAATAAGTAGAGAACTTGTACAGACATGTTACAAAATTAAGAAGATTTAAATTGTTTGTCAGTAGCAGTAGTTCAATTATTACTTCCACCATCAGTGCTATGGGAAATGGGAAGAAGAAGGACTGTGTCCAAAAGTGAATCCTGACAGACTAATTTCATTATCATTCTTCACTCTGGATAAAAACCATCCACTTCAGATTGCCTGAACTGGTATATGGCTGAATGCAGCCGTGCCAAATATGCTACAACTTCAGTATGAACTGGAGTCAAAGGCAGCCAAGTCGGATGCCACAATTGGTATCACTAACATGTTTTCCTTAATTCTTTTGGTAGCAGAGGGCAGGCCAAGTTGGCTTTCTCTTGGAGTGGTGTCTAGTACCTCTGGAATAGAGGTGAAGACAGCCAGAATCTCTTGTAGCTAGCCAGGCTAAGAACATGGGGAGAAGTTCATTGACACGTTAAACCCAATGTTCTGGTCCAGCGGGACCAAGGGTGAAGATTGTAATGGCAATACCTTTAAATTGTTTTAACCTGTTATTTGAGTTGCATATTATAGGAATTACTATACCAGGAACAACATGARACAATTGAGGAGAAGCCCTCACAAGAAGCAGCATAAGAGCAGTAGTGACCTGGCCTGGCTGGCTTTGGCACCCAGTAAGTCCACGCAACACACCACCTCTCCTGTCCTGAATATCATCATAACAGATGGGGCCCAAAGTCATGCACTAAAAGAGCTCAAAATATGTTTTATGAAATTTTACAGGGGTGATGCTTAGACTAAGGGAATGATAGCTGCGTATTAGATAAAAGATGAGAAGTGGCGTGGTGGTTAACAAGGGTCTATTAGCTAGTGTGGGACCTGAGCATGACTTGAATGATATGGAATAAGGAGGTGGAAAATGTCCTGGTTTTAACTGGGTTAGAGTTCATTTTCTTCCTAGTAGCTGGTGTGGGTGTAGTGTTTAAGATCTGTGCTTAAAACAGTGTYRRTAATACAGAGATGTTTTTGTTATAAAGACCTTTTCTGTTTTTTGTATCTTCCTGATAATGAGGAGGTTGGGGATGCACAAGGAATTGGGAGGGAACGCAGCCAGGACAAACAACCTGCACTGATCAAAGTGATATTCCATACCATATGACATCATGCTCAGCATATAGATCTGGGTGAAGTAGGAGGAASGGGTGATACTCAGAGTTAGGGCGTTTGTCTTCCCAAGTAACTTACATGTGGTGGAGCCTTTCTTTCCTCAGAATGGATAAACACCTGCCTGCCCATGGGAAGGGTGAAAAGATTCCTTGTTTGCTTTGCTTCTGGGACTTTTGCTTTCCCTATTAAAATGTATATAAAACCCTCAACCCATGAGTTTTCTCTTACTTTTCCAATTCTCTGCCTCAGCACACTGGGGGCAAGTGAATGAGGACCTGTGTGGTGCTCAACTGCCAGATGAAGCTAAACCATGACATTGCCTTACTTTTTTGGAGAATTCTGAAGTCTGGAGAATCTTGAATTTCAATGCCCTGTCGAAACCACTTAACGTGAATGGGAGGGGGTCCTCTGACCCTGCATTCCAATACCACCACTTGTCCTTCAGATGCTGTGGCATTTTGTAGCTCCTGAAATACAAACGTCACAATTCAAATAAACCAGGAGTATTTTGCATTCTTAAAAATAGTCTTTTCTTCCCTTTGCAATTCAACTTTATTGATTGTGTCATTATATTTTTGCAAGTTTGCATAGAAAGCAATTTATGTCAGGAAGCTGGATTAAGTWTATATTGTTCACATCTGGTTTGTTTCTTCTGTAATTAGCTTTTTTTTTCTTTTGTTTGGTATGTCCCAGATGGCTTAAACCAGTTAATAATGGATTTCAGGGACAAGAGATACGAGTATTAGGAAGAAACAGCRGAGTTTTGATTGCTTTGCTAGTGTCTGGATGGGGGATGGATTTCTCCTATTTCCCATTCTTGGAATTCCCTGTCTCCTAACCTCACAGTAATCATATTCTCTAATTTCTTGCACCTCCACTGTTCACCCTGCTGTGACATCTGAATTATAAGGGACAGTATGAGATGTTTCTTGACATGAGACAGGAATATGATGGAGCCAAGCTAGACAGCTGCAGAGAGCAGGGTTTACTCTTGCTTACTCCTATCTCTAGGCAAAACTATTTGCTGTTTCATATTAATTTTTAATCAAAATTTTCCCTGAAGTAATCGGAAATACTTCATTTTGACTACAACAAATAGTGATTAAATACTAATTACTACTATGTAAATAATTGAGGCACAGTGAAGATAAATATTGACTTAAGTAATTACTTAAGAAATACTGAATAGAACTTTCTTTTCTAAAAAGTCCATATATCAGAAAGAGTATGATCAGCAGGACTAGTGAAAGGACTGGCTCTTTACTCAGCACTGGTGAGGCTGCACCTTGAGTCCTGTGTTCATTTTTGGCCACCTCAGGATAAACACTGAGGTGTGCTGGAGCACGTCCGAAGAAGAGTAACAAAGCTGGGAAACGGTTTAGAGCACAAATCCTATGAGGAGCAGCTGAGAGAACTGTGGTTGTTTAGTCATGAAATTATTGCTCTCTATAACTACCTGAAAGGAATTTGTAATGAGGTGGGGGTTGGCATCTTCTCACAAGGAACAAGCAATAGGACAAGGGGAAATTACCTCAAGGTGTCACAGGAGAGGTTTTGATTGGATATTGGGAAGATGTTTTTCACAGAAAGGGTTGCCAAGTACTGGCTGCCCAGGGAAGTCATTGAGTCACCATTCCCAGAGGTATTTAAAAGACGTGTAGAT